GAAAATATACTGCGGAGAACAAAGAAAACATGATTCGTGTAAACAAATGGGTAATGGTGAATTGAACACCTGTGGTACAATCAACTAACCCAACGCAGGTGAAGAAAAGGAGACAGGATAAAAAAAAACATAAAAAAAAATAAACCAGGAAGCACTAACAAAGACATATGTTTGCACTTGCCTGTTAGAGGATTGTTAATGTTCAGGTTGTGGTGTCAGCAGCATTAAACTTCAGTGTCTGTGTCGTGTTTTTAAAGGATGATTGAATGACTCGACAGCGACCAGCTGACAGGTAAACAGAACTCATGGATCCATGAAGGGAGGTTACTGTTTAGGAATGTAAGCAGCGTGAAGCCTGGTTTCCCAGGAAGCCCCACAACAATGAGGGGCTTACTGGGAGCTCTGTTTAAAGTAGGAGAAACTGGCAGCTTTATCTTCTCCAGTTAATGCTGGAGGAGTTACTTCACTTTTTATTTTAAGGTTGTTGTTGTTTTGTGGTGTTGACAAAGTGGAAGTTATTTCAAAGTCTATGAGATAGGACGATACAGTTGACCACAGTATTTAATTACTAAATGTTGCACATCAGCATCTTTAATTTAATGTGACAGCTCTGTCTACTCAAATGACATCAGTTTTTTAATTTGTGCTCTACAGGCAAGTTTCTTTCGCCTTAGCTCTGAGTGAAGAATGAATTTAACAATATTTTCTGGACAAGCAGACATTGTAACGTCCGAAAATTGTCTTTAATGGAAAAATTTGAAAACTAATCAAGACGTGACTGAAAGCTCCTRGAAGTAAGAGGCAGAGAAGAAGCACTTGAAAAGCCACAAAGCACCGGCTGAGGCTCAAAAGTCAAAGAAATGTCAGGCCAGTCAAACAAAAGGCTTTTGTTTTCCCAGAGGAATTCCAACACCAGAGGCAAAACCACGGGCAAATCCATATTAGACAAGTGAAAACACGTGAGAAATACTTTAAAACAAAACTGTTTTGGGTTCGTTTTCCTTCAGAAGAGAAGCATTTCGTTGCAGTTCAGAGCTGGTGATTAGGGGGGTAAAAAAAAGGACAATGTATGAAATGCAGGTGTGCTTGGATTCAAGTAATCCAGAGTTTTATTGGCTCTGGCTTCCCCTCAAAGGCCCATGACCACTTGAAATTCTTTACTGCAAAAACTCTGCAACTTCTGAAGCCTCTTTAGCAGAACAGAGGAGGAGCTGGGGCTCCATTTAGCCTGATTTCCTGTCTTTTAAAAGGCTGAATGAGCAGCTTTAGGCCATTGAGAGAGCCCTCACCTATAGGACTCTGTTTGATCTCAGCATCATAGCTGCACACAGGTTGAAAGAGAGCGGGCCCCCAATGCTAAGGCTATTCTTAATGAACCTCTTTGGACTGGACCAACCACAGGCCCCTAAGAAAATGTAATCCAGTTTTGGCTCAGTGACTTTCTAAAAGTCCCCATGTCTGCTTTATTTATCATCAGTCAATGTTATAGTGCTTTTACTGAAAAAAAGATTGACTAAACTGAGGCAAGGGCGTAACTTTAGGTCTACCATTGGGCGGGTTGTGCTCAAAAACCCTGCATGTCATTTTCAGAAATTATGCTTAAACCTATATGACATTGTACATTTTTAAATCAAGTCAAAGTTACCAAAGACCACAAAACAGTTGCATCTGTCTACAATTTCTATTGCTTTTGAGCAAATGATGCCATTTTATTGGGGGTTATATTGACTGGATCAAATTATTATGGGGTTCATACCTAGGCCTGTCACAATAACAAGTTTTATTGGGCGATAAATTGTCAGAAGTTATTGCGATAAACGATAATATTGTTGGAGACCAGTTTAAACTAATATAATGATATAACCCCCTGTTTACAGAAGTTTACATTTAAATTTACATAGTGCAAAAACAAAAAACACTCCTCTGTGCTAAGAAGTAAAAAAGAGGGATACACAAAGAAAACAAACAAGCAGGCAAATGAAAATTATTGTCTTCATTTTAATTTGTCATACGATTAATTGATTTGTTTATTGTGACAGGGCTAGTCATAACCCCCACTGCAAATTACGCCTATGACCTGAGGYTTACTTTACATATTTTATTTTAACGTAACAATAATATGCTGGGGTATAATTATTAATGATATTATTTTTCATATCAGTGACTGATCCTCTCAGTGTCTTTGTTTTGTTGTTTTAGCTAATCTGATGTAAAAACAGAATCAAAGCTTCATCAGTTTAACGTCAGTTGCTGCAGTTTGACAAGATAAGCAAAGAATGAAACGACTTTGAAACGACTTAGTTTACGTACTGCACYGAAAATCACAGCAAATGTGTGTACAATTTAACTAATCACATCMCCAACAGATGTCATTTGCATTTGTGAATAATGCAAATCCAAACGAGGAAAATAGGCCGATGGAATTCATTCGAAGTCCCGAGGATTGAGTGGAGCAGAAGCTCCACGATGTTTTCGGCTCGGAACGCTGAGAAGCGGCGTTGTTAACGAGGCACAACAAGCAGCGTTTACTCTGGCTTCGCTGTGTAGCAGCAGCTCGGCTTTTGTTCGAGTCGCCGCTGAAATCTTCCACCGTGCTCAGTTGGCCCTTTGTGTCCCCGTACTCCCTAAGCTCCAGTCCATCCCTTTGTTTGCTTTGGTGCAGTTTCCGTGGCGACTGAGCCCGTGGCCCCCCAATCAGAAGCCCATGCTACTGACAGGCCAAGGGTGGCAGGATGAGGAGGGTGTTGGAAAGAGGAAGCAAGCAGAGGAGACAAAGCCTTCTCTCTCTGACACATTTTTCTGCTGTACAAGCACAGATATGGATATTCTGAATTATATTTGTGCTGTTACGCACACACATCTACACATCATCAATTACAGATGACAACCTACTCTAAACTCAACTCAWCCATAATTCAAACACTGGTTGAGTCTGTGCAAATGGAAATGCAGACTCTGGAATCCATCTCCTGAGCCCATGGTTTTCAAACTGTGGTACAAGTACCACTGCTGGTACTCAGGATCCCTRTAGTGGTACTCAAGAGAATGTATTATGTTTAAAGTTGTAGATGAAGTTAATTACTTTACATAGGCTGAACTGTGATGTAAAGTTTTTAGTGGTTTTGAGTGAGCACCTACCCTCACCTATGGCCACAAACTTTGGGTAGTGACCGAAAGTACAAGATCGCGGATACAAGCGGTGGAAATTAGTTCCCTTAGAGAGAGTTTGAGAAGTTCAGTTAACRGGGAGAGACTCAGAGTAGAGTCGCTGCTCCTCCACATCGAAAAGGAGCCAGTTGAGGTGGTTCTGACATCTGATAAGGATGCTTCTTGGACGCCTTGGGAGGATGGATGGATAGATGGATCTCTTATTTGTATTCAGTTGTTGTGGGAGAAGGGTTTGGCCAGTTTGTTGGAAGGGAATATACAGTTCTAAGCCTGTACTACTGTTTATGTAACTCATGATGGTGGTACTTGGACAACATAGTATTTTCTGAGGTGGTACCTAATATATGGAAAATGGTAAATGGACTTATTGAGTAAATGGGCTGAACGTGTCGCACTTTCTCAAGCTCCATGGGGACCCCAAAGCTCTTTACACTCACACATTGATGGTGGTAAGCTACACTGTAGCCACAGCTGACAGAGGTGGGGCTTCCATGCACCAGCACCACCGGACCCTCCGACCAAGCAAGGCGGGTGAAGTGTCCGAGAACACAATGACTGAGACGGCTGGAACGGGGGATAGAMCTGCAATCCTCCYTCTACAYGACAACTCCCATAACCACTCCGTCACAGCCGCCCTATATATTATAAAATATATATTCTACTGTCAAGTAATTGTCTTTTTTACCCTTGTGTCTTCCATCCATCATCTATACCCATTTCTTCCTTTCAGGATCACTGGTGTCATATCCAGCAGTCACAGTGCGAGGTACACACTGGACAGGTTGCAAGTCCATCACAGGGCCACAAATGGAGACAAACATCCATTCACTTAACAATTAAC